TCGCAAGGTGAATGCATTAATTCACACCTCATTCAAGTGGCCTTTCCTGGTAACATGAAATAGCCATTCAAGTGGCCTTTCCTGGTAACATGAAATAGCCTCATTCGAATTTGGCCATCATTCTGTTCTGCCCTTCAGTTTCAGCTCTCTGATCCGATTTCCGATTTTACGCGTAACCCCTTTCTTCCTGGAGATATTTTTGAATACCGATGCCACCTAGCTTGAACTGAGTGATTTCGAAGTGTTTTTGACCCCTTTCATGTTCCGCATTCTATTTTTCTAAATTTAATGGAAAAATGTAAGGAGGGCACTTTTTCGCTTCGATAGGTCGTACCTCATCACCTTTTTTTCCTGAATTTCCGAAAATTATTGTTTTTGATTATTACGATTTGTCACAGGTCTGCAGTAGGCTGCCCCTACTCCTCAGACGTTTCCTCGTTTTCCTTCTCAATCTTTCTTTGCAAGAGCTTTTCTCGATCGTTGGTCCCATCTGTGCACTTAATACCCTCAATACGTATTTGAGTAAAAAAATTTTCCTTAGGGACGTCTGGGTGGAACACCTCTGACGCAAAATTGCACTAGCTATTTGTGTAGGTGCGGAAAGGCTAATTATTTCCGTGGATTGAAGGATTGAAGTGAAGCGATTACAAGTCGCTGATGCACACACGTGAATTGCATGCGATCGGCTATGCAGTGTTTAAATGACTCCAGATTACGTCATTCCTGATATTTTAGTTTTATTTTTGCACTTGCATGCTGCGGACTCCTGAAACACACGTTCTACTTCGAAATGAAAGGGGTGGATTTAATTGATACAGTTGCCTTCCTTGGAGGAAGGGAGACTGCGGGGGAGGAAGCGACGATTCCAGCAGTGAATTTGATGCATCGTCGAGTATCCCTTGAGAAAGTGCATAAATTGGAATAGAGAATTTCCGTTTTGCCAAGGACGGGAATATATGTTCCCAGCTGACGTCGTGAATAGATGACAAATCGTCTACCAAATTGCTAGCTTCTGTGAAATAAAAGAAAATCTATGCAACATCGAATACGCCAGGAATAGGGTTGGATCAATTGGACCAAATTTCACCCTCTAAAAATCAGTGCGATCCGTCAGTAAGCACTGATTCCCCATGGCTCCGCTACACTTCGGCAGTGGAGACTAGCACCTTTGAAGACTCGGAGCAATGTTTATTGGCTGTTATAGATGTCCAGTCTAACAACGTCGCTGTGGTACTATATAACGTAACAACAACGAACTGTTCCGAGTTTCTTAGATTGAGAGGGTTTGGATTTTAGAGCAGCGTACTATGCAGTTTGGCCTAAAATGGTCTTGATCGTGTTCTTGCTGGGATGTTCCCGACGCTAATGGTTTAGGTTCCGCTAAAAGATCGTTCGAATGCGGGGGAGGTGCGGGGGAGGAGCGAGGGGTGGAACGCAGAAATAATATGGGAAATTTGAGAAGAGATGCAATGACGGAGCCAAAGGCAAGGATATGCATCTGAAGGGCAAAAAGTGACAAGTGGCTGCTAGCAATAGAAAGCGAGCGGAAGTAATCGCGCCAAAAGGGTTCCGTGCAGGGACAGGGCTGGGATTCTTTGGTGTCTTAGCTGAGTTAAACGTAACCATGAGCCGTTCCCTCCACAGTGACCAGAGCGATTTCATTCTCTTCTTTGATGGTCTTTGATCACTGCAATAATCAAAGTGGGGATCCCTTCTAAAGCAGATTCCCATGAAATCTGGCTAGCCGACAATTGCTTGGTTGCAATTTGAGGTCAGAGGCGAGGTGACTGGCGGAGTACCCTATCATATATCACGGTTGTGGTCGACCTCCATTTTGGGGTGGAATTTACCAGTAAATATCTCTGTAATAAAGCACATTTAAAGCGTTGTTGCGGACTTTATTGGGACCACTTCTAGCTCCTATTTCTGTCCGCATTCCTTCTTTTAGCCTACCGCTGGGATACTTTACTGTCTCTCCGTCTAGCGCGTAGAAGTCCTACGTAGCCCTCCCTCCATTCTTTCCTTTTAAAAACTATGAGTTGGCCGAGGGAGTCTATCCTATCAGTGCAGATGTTTTTGAAGAGTACTAAATCCGTATGACTTGTAGCTGTTGGCAGCTGAACCTAGATATGACAATGAAGTTGAAATTGCCTGTGATAGATGTTAGTTAGGTTGCTGTGAATGAATAATTGTTGGAAGTGATGACGATTTTCCGGCTGAAAATAGTAACATTTTCTCATGTTTTCATGTAACTTTGTCTGGATATTCATTACTCGTTTATTAGGTAATGACGTGTACAAGAGTCTCGTGTTCTTCTCCTGGAAGTGTTAATTAACGATATATAAAATACTCTGGGATTCACTCGAAATAGATATTGAAGACAAATATCCGAACTTTTTAAGCCATTGTAACAAGTATTAACTGGTCGATGACGTGGATATCTGG